GCGGCCGCGGGGGCGCCGGGCGCGGGCGGGGCCTCGGGCGCCGAGCAGGACTGGGAGCGCGCGGCACGAGCCGGCCGCCGGGGCAGGGGGCTGTCTTCGAAGGGGCCGCGCAGGCCGCAGTCCAGGCTGAGGCAGTAGCCGGCGCGGCTGCGCTGGATGGAGCGGAAGAGCACGTAGTCGACCGAGCGCACGGAGCCCTGCAGCTCCAGCAGGCACGAGTCCTCGGACGGGCTGGAGCCCCCCGGGAGGTCGCCGATGGCCGACAGCACCAGGGACCCGCTGTCCATGGACACTGTGGGCGGCAGGGGGCGCTGGTGGCACCGCCGGCGGCCGGGCCGGCCGGGCCGTGCCGGGCAGCGCCGCCTTCGGGCCAGTCCGCCTCCGGCTGTCTCGGAAGACACGCAGGTCCAGGGTTCGAGAAGCCCAGGCCCTCCTTCGTCCCAAATGTCAGCCGTCGCCAGCATCCCCGCCTCCCCCCTCGCAGCTCTCTGCTCACCGTCCACAATGGAGGCCACTCGCTCGCACATGCAGGCGCCGTCGTGCAGCTGAGGGTCAAACAGAGTGGCCTGCAGAAGACGAGAGTCAGAGGCCCAGGCCTGCTACTGGCATGGCCACTCCCGAGCGCTGGACAGAACTCCGAGGTCCCAGACCAGCTCTGTTACTTGGCTGACTTTCACAAGCAACACAGGAGTCGTAGTGCCTGACCCACCCGCCTCACCAGGCTCTAGAGAAGATGGAAGACGACAGGGCATGTGGCAGAGCTATAAAGATCGCAAGCACTGTCATCACCCTGGTCCACCATGGCTTGCTCAGGCTCTTGCCCAGCTCCCTGGCCTACACCCGGCCTGCACTCACCTGGCTGTCTCCTCGCAGGCCCATGACAGCTTCATAAGAAGGAGGGCAGTCAGTAGGATACAAGGGCACAGGGCTGTCCATGGAGCCATTGTATGTGATGCTGGCAGGATGAGGGAAGAGCTCAGAGCCTGGAAAGCTACTGCTCCTGGCCAAGGCAGGCCAGGCCACCACTGCAGGCCCACCCCAGCCTCTTCCTTGATCCCCTGGAGAACCCCACCTGGCCTCACCTCTGCGCATCTGTCTCGGAGCTGCAGGTATACTCTGGGGGGTAGTAGGGCGGCGGAGGCACTGGCGGGACAAATTCCTCCAAATCCAGCATGGTGTGCAGGAGAGGGGCCGGAGGGGAGGCCGCACAGCTAGGCAGCCCCAGCGGTCCTGAGACGGAGCGCTCGGGGACCAGCTGCTGGGGCAAGCAGGCCACCAAGCCTGGTTTCTGGGGGTGCAGCTCTTCCTCGGCCCCTGCACCCTCCTCTCCTTCAAGCTCTTTCTAGGGCCCAGCCCCTCTAAGAAGCTCCAGTTCTGTTCCTGACCTCCGGCACAACAGCTCCTCCTCAACCCTGCATCACCCTGAGCCTGCCCAGAAATTCCTCCCCTGTAGGCCTCCTCCCATCCAGAGTCACCACCTGTGTTCTCTGTCACTTCATCCCCGCCTCCGTCCAGGGCCTTCTAGACTCTGCCCCATCCATCGTCCTCTTGGGCCCCCTCTCCTGACCCAGGGTGGCATTACACACCCAGTGACTCCCTGTCCCCTCCCCTCCCTTGGCCCCCAACCATCCTCCAACAGACGATGCCCAGGGGCCCAGAAGCCAGCTCCATGGCCACTGCCCCTCCAGCCCAGTCCTGGCACACACAGCCCCTCGAGCCTGGCTGACGCCAGGCCTGGATCCCCTCTCACCGTATGCACCAGGTCCAGAGAGAAGATCTGGATGCAGCAGACAATAGCAGACAGGGTACAGATTACGGCGGCACAAACGGTGAGTCCACAGACACTGAAGAGCAGGTTCTGCAGCCAGAGGAGGGCAGCTGAAGGCTCTGGGAAGGTGTGTGTCCCCTGCATCCCTGGGGCTCCCCTGGAGCTCGCTGGGAGAGCACTTGCTAGCACGCATGAGACCCTGGATTTGGCCCCTGGCACCCCCAAATGAAACCAAACCACATTTCCTGGGCCTGTGAGGATCCCAGTAAGGGAGGCAAGGATGGGACCCAGGATGATATGGGGAAAGGGCTTCAGGGATAAGGGAGTGCCCACACACCTTGAGGGCGCCTCGGGCTTCATCACAGGTAGAGTTAGGGGCAATCTTGAGCTCCCGCCCTGGCTCTGGACAGGGCCGCGGGAGGGGAACAGGGGGGCAGCACACACAGGCCTTTCCCTCCTGTGGGGGTGGGGCCAGCGGGGTCAGGACAAACTCAAGTGTCCTGCACACCTCCCCAGCGGCTCTCCCAGCTCCCGCGCCTCACGTCTCACCATAGTGCACTGTCGGAAGTCCCGGGCCAGCTGAGCGTTCTTACAGGAGAGGACAGAGCCAGCCATGCTGAGCATGACACAGAGCACCGAGAGCAAGGAGAAGAAAGAGATCTGGGGAAAGAGCGAGCCCACTCAGGCCCAGGACCTGCATCGGTGATGGAGGATGGAGCCCCCCCCCCGCAGACATTCTTGTGCCTGCCTGGCACCATGGAAAGCCACTTCCCTTCCTGAGGCACAGTGGGGTCCCCCCTGGTGCCGGGCACCTGCCTCCCGGGGGCACTGGACCCTGGCACCTACCACTAGAGTGAACGGCCGCTTCCAGGAGACAATGCCAACTACCCCGGAGAACGCCAGCTGGGGACAGAGTGGGGACAGACTCAGCCTGGTGGGGCGGCACCTGAGTAGGCCCCTGGGCACAGGATGCACCCAGCCCTGCCAGGAGGGACAGGACCAGAAGAGGGAGGCGAGGTGAGGAGACAGCTTGACGCTGGTGAGGAGAGGTGGGGCCCAGGAGCCTCTCCCACCCAGCCACTGAGCACCCTGCGGACCCGACTCACCGAGAACCCGGCCCAAGACGGGCAGGACCTCTTGATGCTCTCGGTGGTGGTGACGGAGGAGGCCACCATGCTGAAGGTTACCACCAGGATGCCCAGGAGCACCTGGGCCAGCCCCAGCGTGAGCAGGGCCTGCAGCCAGGGTCGGTGGAGGCGGAGGTGGGTGAGGCCCCGGGTGCTGGGCCGGCTGGTCAGCGAACGGATGGAGTCGCTAGGCGAGGGCATCATGCCTGCCCCTCACTCGGCACCCGCTGGCGCTCGGGAGCATCTCAGAGGCGCCCGAGGCCCCGTCCTCTCTCCTCCCCACCCAGCTTGCTCTAGAGCCCACCCCCTGGGTGGGTCTCCGGGGGCACTGCCCGAGGACTCCAGCTGAGGGGGGCGCCACGGGAGGGGCGTCACGGACGGACTCCGGGGTGCTCCTTCCCCAGCACGGGCACTGGGCGGGCGCCGTGCCCGGGGCGGCGAGGAGGACGCGGAGGCACTGGCTCATCGCATCTCCCTAGGGCAGAAGGGCGCCGAGATGGGCTGGGCCCAGAGAGCGCAGAGCGCGGCGGGGCTGGGCCCGGAGGTGGAAGGAGGTCGGGAGAGGGGGGCGGCCTGGGAGACTCGAGGGGCGCGGTCGGGGCGCCCTCGGGGCGCAGCAGGATCCTGGCCGCCTGAGGGGAGGCCGAGACCTGCTTTCGCCCGCCCGGCTCCCGCCCCACCACGCTCGGCTCCAGGCTCAGCCGCAGCGGTCCAGCGGTCTGCTCGAAGGCGGGGGTGGGGCGGGGCGCGGCGCGGTGCACCCCGGGAGCTGTAGTCTGGACTCAGCCAGGCGGAGCGGGCGCTGCGCCCCGACCGAGGCCGCGCTGCCCGCTGCCCGAAGTTCCTCCGGTGCCCGCCTGCGCCCCGCCCGCCTCAGGCTCCCGGCGGAGGTGGCGGGCTCTTCCCTGTCCTATGGAGAGGGGTGGGTAGCAAGGTGCGCCGGTGTCCCTGCCACCCCACGCCCAGCCTGGACCTCCCGCCACAGCACCGAGCTCTGCCCTGATTCCCACAGCGCTGTCTCCACTCAGGCAGGCTGCGGACTGTTACCACTTCAGTCTCCACATTCCGCTTTCTCTTAAAGCTTAATCATAGGGTCACAAATTTGAGCCCAGCATGGGCGACTTGGTGACTTAGTAAGACCTTGTCTCAATGTCTCAAGACCAAAAAAAAAAAAAAAAAAGGCTGGTGTTGCGGCTCAGTGGGAAGGCCTTGGGTTCAACCCCAGCACTGCAAAAGAAAACCAAGGCCTAATTTCCAATGCAAACTCAGGCAACGGGTGACTTCCAGTTCCACTTTATTTTTATTTAAATAACTGAAGCGACAGCCTTGGCACGGCAGAGGGGAGCTAGGTTGGCGCGTGAGCAGGGGCAGCGGCGTGGTCTGGTGAGGGGGGGCGAGCAGCGCCAGGCTCACAGTGGCCTCCCGTCGGGCTCAGCGTCATGGCCGTGGAACTGGGGGCACTGTCAAGTAGTGATGTCTCCCCAGTGCGAGACCTGGGGATGGGGGTGTCAGCTCCCTCCAGTGGCAGGGCCAGGGCATCCCAGGCAGGGATCACGGCCCCCGGAAGGCATTTTCGGCAGCCCCAGCGGCTGCGTTGGCAGCTGCGGTTCGCACGGCTGGGTTGGAGAAGACACCAGCAGCAAATTCTTGCTGCGCCTTCTGAAAGCTGGCACCTGTGCGGCGGTATAAGGAGTGGATCTGCAAGGAGAGGGCAGATGCTACAGCAGAGTGCAGCCACTGCTGCCCCACCCACGAGTCCCAGGCCGCGCAGCCCGCCGACTGCTGGGCCTGGCACTCTGGAAGCACACACGCTCACAGAGCCCAGAGGTCCATTAGTGAGAGTCCTCCTGAATGCTCACTGCGGCCCCTTGGGACCCATGATCTCACCCTCCTGCTCAACCTCCCACACAGCCCCTCACCCGCTTTAGCATCACAATTCCCAGCACAGCGATGCCAGTGAAGAGCAGGGCAAGCAGCAGCATGAGCACAGCTACCGCAGTGTTGACCTTGAGCATCACCATCGCAGAGATCCAGCCGCTGTGGGGAGGCACATGCTGGTGAGAAGGGGCAGCCTGGGGTCACAGAAACGCCTGTCCCCACCCGCTTCAGCGGTCACTCCCTGCCAGTCTGGCAGCATTCCACAAACCACCATCCCCACTCCATCCACTCTTCAGAGTTTAATTCCAGTCTGAACCATTAGCTCCCAGCTCTCCAGGTTCTGGAGATCTTCTCTTCATTGTCATCACACATGCCTCCTCCAGGAAGCCTCCTCCTCAGAGGACCACATGCCTCCTTTCCCTCCATCTCTGCCTGCCCAGTGTGGGCTGGACTCTCATATCCTAGGATGGCCTCTCTTCGTAAACTACATGTCCCAAGGAACAAAACACACCTCTTTATTTTGAACAACCTCTACCCCAGTACCCAGTGCTGGCTTGGTTTAGAGGAGTAGCAGGGATGGGTGAGCTGGCAGCCACACAGACCTGAACCCCCAACCTGGGATGCCAATTGCCTGGAGAACAAAGAGCACATTCTGGCTGAAGAAAATGAAGAAAAAAACGAAGAAATTGAATGAACTGTCACTCCTGTAAAGAGAGAAAAGTGGGAAGGTAGGAGAAGAATTAGGGCCAGAGGAGCAGGTGTGGAGCTGACCTCAGGCCCGCCACCACCACCTCCTCCACTTACCGGAAAGCCTTATACATGGGGCGGTACCAACACACGAAGGAGCAGGGAGTGAAAAGGAGGACCCAGAGCAGAGAAAGGCCAAAGCCCGAGCCACTGTCGGTATCCACACAGAAGCGGGCCAGGCAGGCGAGGAAGTTCAGGAGAAGAGCCACAGTGCTGCCTGTGGGGATCAGGGACAGTGTGACTGGACCTCCTGGACTGCAGTGAAGGCTCCTTC